AGAACTTGAGTTACATTATTATCGTATTAGTACTGTATTAAAACAAATCTATTTAATTAGTACTTTGCCGTAGCATTTTATTTATCAGCAGTATTGTTTCTGTATCAGTAAAATGTGCATGAAATATTCGAATGTTCGTGTCGATTAATTATTTTTTAACAAAGTAAAAATCGCGGCCAAGAATATAGTTAAGGAATTTTGAAAAAGCTTTTGTTGTATTTTAAAATTACAAGCCTGTAAACGTAGGTCTCAGCAAAATTTTATTCTCTTGAGAATAAAATACTGAACAAAAATTTTATGAAAATTACTTATTTTCGGTAATGTTTTAGATTATTCTATTTTTTTTTTTTTTTTTACTAGCAGAAAGAATTCTGAAAGTGCATAAATAAAATACTTTCGCTTAAAAAAATATTTTGAATTTTTTTTTTTTATTGAAGAAAACCGATTTTGTGGCGTGATCAAGTTTGTCCAATTAAAGATGGGCTTCGTGCATCCAATCACAACTGTAGGGGAAACCAACTTTATTGATTAATGCATATAGAAAAGAAATAAGGTCATAGGAAGTTAATTTCATGATTTTTTTCTAAAATAGCTTCTTTTAATAGAATCTTCGGAACTTGAATCTTTACTTTGTGTTTTGATAATGCTATGACAGTAGTGAACGAATATCTGACGTTTTCATTGCTTGCAAGAGGAGGAATAAAAAAATTGCATTTGTATCGTGTGAACAACTTACTGTAAAAATATCCAATCTATTGTTTTTTTTTTAAAAAAAAAACAAAAAAACAAATAGATCAGACCAGTTCGAGCAGTCTGTTAACATCCCTACTTTATATCTTCTAGTTTTATGAAACCGGTACTGCCTCCCTTGCACCTTCAATACGATTCGATATTTTTAAAAGACACCAAGTCCTGATCCATTCAAGAAAGGAAATTGATACTTAACTTATTGGACTCCTTAACGTATTTGAGCGTAATAACGCGTTATTTCGAGACGCGGTAATTTTGGCAAATTTGGTTACAAAAGGAAGCCCCACTTTTATTAATGAAATTCGATCAAAATATGTAATATAGTATATTTAAAGTGGCGCGTTATTTTGAGTCAAAAAACAATTTTCAAAAAAAAAGGGATTTCGAAATAACGCACATGTGCGTTATTACGCACCAAATATAGTAATAACGTAATTATTTCGGGACGTGTATGGGCGTCGTTTCGAAGACATGCATGTTATTTTCAGATGATACGATTTTCGAAATAACGTTCATGGCGTTATTACACGAGAGTTTCTGGTTTAGCATCACGACTAAACAAGGGGAATGCGTTTTTAGTTAAATTACCTACGACTTTATGAGTGCTTCATTTCTTTTAATGAAATTTCAATAACATCATGTCCAAAGTTTTCTGTCAAAGCCGAGCTAATGTGAAATATTATATCGCTTTAGTAGCCTTTTTCGTTGGTGTAGATCAACTCTGGAGGTCGTCATTAGAGTTGTTGCTTTTTCGTCGTTTTTTTGATGTTGATTTGTAGATTTTATTGGAATCATTCATTACATTTTTTAATATACTATCTTTTCAAAAGGTAACCTGCCACGTGATAATGAAAAATCGAGATGCCTCGCATTATGTTAGATTTCTGTCGTTAAGACGTAAGAATTCTATCTCGACTTTAATCATACGATGACTGCGTTGTTAGTATACATTGTGGTAACTATACAGTATAGACTACTACGGTATTTGATTAAAGTTCGAGTCACATGAGACGTGTCACTGTCGTGCCATTAAATGCTACGGCAGTGACATGCACTTTCTGACGAAGCTTATCTTCCTAAAAGGGCCACCAGTCGTTAATGGTAAGATTAGTTAGCAAAATAAATTTTAGCTAGTTAATTTAATAAAATTGGCAAATTCATATTATTATACTGTATACATCATTGATATATATTAAGCTCGGCAACTAAAAGATATATTGTAATTATATACTGTATTAATTCATAAAAAATAATATATCAGTTTGAAAACAAAAGCAGTAGTCACATATTTAGTGCAAAAAAAGAAAAGCTTCGCGTCTTAGAAAAAAAATGACGTTTAGAGGCTACTAAATCAGCGACTCTGGCTTAACAATTACATTTTTTAATATTTATTACTAATCGATTCAAATAGACTAACTTGATAATCTCGATTCGTCACAAAACTAACTCGGCATAATGCTCAAATGACTGAATGCCTATGACGCGAAAGTAGTTAAAAATATTATATTATTATTATTTGTCTTATAAATAAAAGAAGTCGCTTCATTTTTTATCTTTAATTTTTTTTATTCCATAATCAAAAAAAAAAACAAAAACAAAAAAAATGCAATTAGAGACCATAAAAGATACTCCCTATGCAAAAAAAGCATCTAGTTACGTTAATATTATAAATGAATTACGTCGTATCGGCGCAGACTTTGCAGTAGATCTACCAAGAATCGTTTTTTGCGGTAACCAATCCGCTGGAAAGAGTAGTTTGATAGAAGCAATTTCGGGAGTAAAAGTATTTATATTATATGATTTATCAATCCTTTATCATTATCAACTCTTGAAGATAAGATATATAACCCGAATTTTTTTAAATAGCTACCTAGATCAGACGGGACATGTACCCGTTGTGTAATGGAACTTAGACTTAGCGAATCAGTCGAAGAATGGTCGTGCCAAGTTTTTTTAAGACAAGAATATGATGAACATGAAAGACGTCTTAACCGTCCCATAGAGACAAAATTTGGTTCCTTAATTGTTGATCCAAATGAAGTCGAACTAATGGCACGTAGGGCACAAAAGGCCTTACTAAATCCAAGGCAAAATAGTGATAAATATTTTAATTGGGACTTTGGTGATCATAATTATGAGGATGATTCACAATCGAATGCTATTAAATTTACAAAAAATGTCGTTTGTATTCAAATCAAAGGACCTGATGTCCCAAATCTAAGTTTGATAGATTTACCAGGAATTATAAGTATGTTAACTTTTCAAAATATTATATCATAACTTTTTGAAATATTGTTTTCATTAAATTTCACGTTAAATTAAATAGGATATACAGAAAAATTGGAAGACGAAAAATTTATTGTTCTAATTGAAGAACTTGTCAATGAATATATTCAAAAAGAAAAATCTATTATTGTTGCGACAATTTCATGCAAGGATGATATTGATAATCAAGCTATTGTTAGCTTGGCAAAAAGTGCTGATATTTCGGGTATACGAACGCTTGGAGTTCTCACCAAACCTGATACTATTGAAGAAGGAACTCATGATAAATGGTTAAAAATAATGAGAAACGAAGCACATAGACTTGATTTAGGTTATTTTGCAGTAAAGAATCCAGCACAAAAACATCTTAATGACGGCATTAGTTTTGAGGATGCTAGGCAAGATGAAATAAATGTAAATTTATATCATTACTAAATTGCGAAATTTACGTACTATTAATTCAGTAATTTTAATAACTAATTTTATATTATTAATATATATTGAATGATTTGTAATAGTTTTTTGAACAAGGTCCCTGGAAGAATTTTAGATTACGAGAAAGAATCGGTGTGGTGAAATTAAGACTAAAATTGTCCGATTTGCTTATTCAATCCATTATAAGAGGATTGCCATCTGTTAGAAAAGAGATTGAAACCAAGTTGTCTGAGGTATTTTTAACAATTTTTATTTGCTAATTTATCATTATTTAATTTAAAATTTAAATATTCTTTATCTGGTACTGCTAGACGCGTCAAGAACTGGAGGAAATTCCTGAACAATTAAGTGATAATCCGAGAATTGAGATCTATAGAATGGCCAAAAAGTGTTCTACAATTATTAAGTCAAAAACTACGTGTTCAAACAATCAAGTAGATTTATGGCAATCTATAAACAAAGAATTTGAATTTTTCATGAAAGAGCTGCACACTTCGAGGCCAATATTCACCGTTGGTAATAATGAAACGGAAATTGATTTATTAGACGAGTTTATTAAGACAAAAGTTATTGAAAAAAATTATTCAAAGTCGACTATTTATAGTACCAATACTACCGAACATCTGTCACGTGTTAAATTTACGGGAAAGTTCAAAGAAAAAAATTTACAAAAGATATCTGAAACTCTAGTCAAAGAAAAGATTAAAACTTTTCGTGGAAGATTATTACCCGGATTTATTCCGACTTCTGTCGCAGAATCTTTGATAAAGGAAACAAATATAAATTGGAAAACACCAGCAATTAATTGTTTAAATGCCATTCATTTAATTGTTCTAAAATTGGTTAATGAAAGCATCGATAATACATTTTCAAGATTCCCTAATCTAATCGGACAAATAAGGTATAGATTAATTATTTAGTTTTTAAATAATCTTAACCCGATTTTTCTCTTGCTTAAAAATTAATATATTCTATATGTATACTCTAAGGTATATTGCTAATTCATGGTTAGATGAATGTAAGAATTTAACCATGAAATATATCGACTTTTTATACCAAATGCAATCATCCGATCCATTTACACTCGACGAACGGTCGATAGCATCTCAAAAATCGATATATCTAAGTGCTTTTAATGAAATCCTACAACATGAAAATGGAAATCAAGAGCCTACAAGCACTTTAGAAATTATGGCGTTAATCATGGCTTATTTTAAAATTTCACTTAATCGATATGTAGATGTTATAGCTATGACTATTATTCATGCATTCATCGATGAATTTACTAAATATATTGAAGAGAAAATGATAGAAATTTGCATTCCTGATGGGAAATATTCGTTAGACGAATTGATTAAGGAGGATGATTCTATTAAGCATCATCGTGATTATTTGGTTAATCGTGAGAGGGATTTGAAAGAAATTTTTGATAGTCTTATTAAATTTGGTATCTAAACGATGAGTTTTTGAAATTCTACAATTTATAATACTTTTGTTGACATTTACTTTTTTTAAATATATAATAAATATGGTGAATTTTGAAATTTGTATATATTCAAAAGGACGATTTTAACGCTCACCAGAGGTGAAATTCACCGGCGGTGCTGTATTTCAAAAACGTAAGTAATTAAAGTCTAAGTAAAAATGTTCAAGACCCTGAAAACCAGTATTGTTATTGGACATGTCCAATTGGACATGGCTAATTGGACATAAGGCTAAAAGGGCTGGCTAATAAATTTGAATTGGACTTAATATATTTTTTATAATAATATTTAATTATCAGATAATCTCAATAAACGAGATTGCAAAAGATCAGATGACCAGCACTGTTCTAATAATATAAATTTTATTAAATATCTCAAATTTTATAGCCTGATAATTAACCTTTTATATGCTACTGTATAGATTCTCACATGTTTATATGATACAAAAAAAAAAACCAACAAAAATACAATTCATGAGGTTGCTTTTACAGTATCAAGAATTTCTGCAAAAAATCTTATCTGTTACAGGATTTGATATTCTAGTCAGGCATAATATATAGTTAAGGCTAAGTTAGTTTGTATAAGAATTATCGTGACTTCTACCATGAACTAAAGTAAAACTTGCTATTATAATTTTATGAATACTGCAAGAAATTCTATTACAATATTCACTCGCCATTCCAGTAATCAAAAATGTAGTAAGTTAGTTTGCATCGGAATTATCGTAATTTTGTGATACATAGTATGTAGGTAAGGTCAAGTTAATTCGCATCGGAATTATTGACTTCTACTATGAGCTACAGTAAAACTTGCTATTCCAGTGACAATAGTTTGCAGTTAAAGTTGAGTTAATTAGTATTGTAATTTCTATTATGAGTTACTGTAAAAAAATTCTGCTACAGAGCTTACTCGCCACTCTGGTCATCATAATATGTTGTAAGTTAGTTTGCTTTGAATTATCGTAATTTTCATCATGAGTTGCTATAAAAAAAATTCTGTTACAGAGCTTACTTGCCACTCTGGTCATCATAATATGCTTAAGTTAGTTTGCATTGAATTATCGGTAAAAGATCCTGTTAAAGAATTTGCTACTCCAGTGAGACATAGTATGTATTCAAGATCGAATTAATTTTGTATTGAGTTATTGTGATTTCTGTCATGAATTACTGTAAAAAATCCTGTTACAGAACTTACACGGTGATACATTATGTGGATGTTATTAATGTATCCATATCCCAGTTAAGAATGGCAAAGACAAGTAAGTTCGCATAACGCGCGAAAATAAATCATAAAAATTTAAGAACCCATAGTAAAGCAAACTACGATGCAGTCTAATCAAGTGAACAAACTATAGCATTGTGAATTAATCAACAGGAGGGAACGTTGTTGTTACACAACTGATTTTACACACGGTGTGAAACACATAAAAAAATGATTTTACAA